GGCCCTTTATGGTTTTCCATTCGTTCTCCACTTACCTGCGGCTGCACAGAAACACCTGCTATTCTATTCCCACCACGAAACCCAGGTTTTCAGGGCTGTTCTTCTGTTCTTTCAGGACACTGGACATTCTTATTGTGAGGTGAGAAAAAACAAATCCTCGGCCGGCACCATAAGCACATAACAGGCAATGCCAGTCAAAAATAAAAATGAACAGGGCAGAGCCAAGTGAAATTTTTAGGTGAAAGGGTGTGCAGGAGAAGCGAACTCTACCCCCCCCCCCCCCCCCAAAAAAAAGAAAAAAAAAAGAAAAGAAAAAGCTCTTAGTTTAATGTACAATGTTTATCTCGCTGCTAACACGTTTGGACTGAGTTAATTTTCACTGACGATTCTTGCGATGCGCAGCTTAATGGGACTGTCTTGGAGATCTTACTTTCCTGTCGGTTGATGGAGTAGGAGTTGCCTGTTGATTTGAACTTCTCTTCCTGAAAGAGTGCTTTTAAAAAATAAGACTTCTGATTACTGCTGCCCCTCCCCATGTCCCGTTAGTGTCAAGTTGATTTGAATATTGGTTTCATTCATTTTTTCTAGTAGCAGATGCAAAGTAGGTATGTTCTAATTTTTTCTAATTCTAATTTTTTGTAGCAGCAAAAGAACTAACTTCATTCTGATAGCTTGCGTTGAACAAAATTATATCGAGATTTTATAGGATTTAGGGCACCCCCTGTGCACCAGACCAGAGGATGGTCGCCCTCTAAAGTAATAATGCATTCCCAGTTTGCAGCCTACAATATGAACTTACGCCAATATTATTTTGTTGTGAAGACCATGTGAAGCACCGCGAGAGGATCTTTTGGATGACCTTGCCAAAACCAGCCAGGTGCACGCAGTACAGATTATGTAATCGGCGCCAAGGAAGCCCTATTCATAACTTCCGGCTTCCATAATGAGCAGGTGTGTCGTTATGGAGATGCTTTCTCACTGCCTGTTTTCCTTGCACCCCGTGCAGTAGATACGGGGACATTCAAACTAGAGCAATGCACGACGTACGTAAATAAGCTTTTGGAGACATTGCCTCAGCCATCTATCGAGCCATTTCTTTTGTTTCCCGTTATCACCTCTCCCGCGTCACTCTCAAATAACTTATTGTATTACCTCAACCCCGGCGTTTTGGCTGTTTGAATTTGTGAAGGTGAGGTTTTACGTCACAGAACCACCACATGATTATGACAGATGCTTTAGCGGAGGACTCCAGAAATTTCAACCTCCTGTTCTTCATTAACGTGTACTCCTCTGCATGCATGGCTGAGCCGTGTCCGAGGAAAGGGAGATCCTGGGGGTCGAGCTGATGCTGGAAGATTGGTCCTTTAAGGTCCCCCGGCAGAGGCAACACACCTCTTTGGCTTCGGCTTCATGTAGGCGACACATCTGGACTGACCCACCCTGGGAAATTGGCAGTAGCCTTTTCGTATCTCTCTCTCTCCCCTCATCTTCCTCTTTCTCACTCGCTTTCAATCTGTCCTGTCATCTTCTCTTTTCTGGTTATTTTCGAATTTCCTGGTGGCGAGGGTTTACCTTGGGTAGTTATATTTGGTTATAGCGGCGATGCATGGCTGGCGTCTCCAAGTGTTCACTATTGAACCTTGTAGTGTCCCTTTGTTGGGCTCGGTGGTGAATGGTCACCATAGCCACCAAAGAACATACTTTCCGCGTGGCAAACATTTCCCCCCACCCCTTTCTGATTGCTCCCTCAAGAGGTGGTGCACTGGTGAAGCAATTACCCTATCCAAGCCAAAGCAGACCTTTCCGAAAGTACCATGTGATTCACAGCCAAAACGAAAACAAGAAAGTCCGGGCGATTTCATCTTTTCTCGTATCACAAAGACTTACAGAAGAAATTGGTCCAGGATACAAAGTTAGAGATGGGAAAAGCAGAGACCTCCTTTTGGAAGCCCGAGACAAGGCACAATATGACAAACTATCCAAACTTGTATCATTTGGCAACACTCCTGTTTCAGTGGCCCCATACAGGTCTATGAATACAGTGCTTGGTATAATTTTTGATGACGACCTTCTCGAGTTGAGCGAAAGTGAACTGTTGGAAGGATGGTAAGATGAAAATGTTCTGAAGGTACAAAAAATAATGATTAAACGAGATAACAAATTCCTACAAGGCATACAGTAATCGTTTTTGTTTTGGAACCAGCGATATACCTGAATCTATTGAAACCGGTTATTGTAAGCTCAGTGTCCGGACCGACATACCCAATCGCCGTTGTTGTTTCAAGTGTCAGCGCTTCGGACATGGATCGCAAAGCTGCGGAGATTGCTCTACTTGCGCAAAAGGTTCATTCATTGAACACTCCTCCTACACTTGTGCTTCAGCAGCGCGTTGCGCTAACTGTGCAGGAGATCACCTAGCTTACTCAAGACCTTGCCGCTCGTGGAAGAAGGAAAAGAAAATAATAGAACTGAAAATAATATTCAACTTGTCTTTCCATAAGGCATGTAAACCTTTTGCACTACATAACCCGTCTTATTCCTTTTTCGCTGTTGTGACGCGCCGGGGCGCCACGCCACGCGTTTCCACACACGCGAATGTCACACAGAGTGTGGCCGCGGTCGTGCTATCAGTGCCCCCGGCTGGAGCAGCCTGTACTGCTCCGCCACCTGACAAACAGGGCCGGCAGACTCCGGTGTCTGCTGGACCCCAGACCACTGCATGTGCAGTTAGGCCTGAAACTTCTGTGAATGTGCCTGTCGAGCAGGCACGATTCGCCACCTCTCAAGAGGTGATGGATAAAAGTCCCACTCTTCCGACTTTTCAAAACCCGAAAGGAGAGGCACCAGAAAAGAGAAACTCCACATTACAGGGCCTCCAAAAGGCCCTGCATTTAAGGCAACACCTTTGTACACACAGCACCACACAGCTTTAAAATGACACGAATATTACAGTGGAACGTCGGAGGATTGCTGAGAAACCTCGACGATATCCAAGAAATTTTACACAAACATTCACCAAAAGTGCTGTGTGTGCAAGAAATACACTTACAATCGAAACACACCAACTTCCTACTCAATTACATTATTTTTTGAAAGGATCGAAATGATGTCGCCTCATGTGGCGGTGTTGCCATTATAGTTAATCAAGGAACAGCCTGTACACATTTACCCCTTCAGACATCCCTGGAGGCAATAGCTGTCCAAGCTGTTACCTTCAACAAACTCATCACAATTTGCTCATCACAATTTGCTCATCACATACTTCCACACGCCCCGTCGCGGTGGTCTAGTGGCTAAGGTACTCGGCTGCTTACCCGCAGATCGCGGGATCGAATCCCGGCTGCGGCGGCGGCATTTCCGATGGAGGTGGAAATGTTTTAGGCCCGTGTGCTCAGATTTGGGTGCACGTTAAAGAACCCCAGGTGGTCGAAATTTCCGGAGCCCTCCACTATGGCGTCTCTCATAATCATAGCGTGGTTTTGGGACGTTAAACCCCACAAATCAATCAATCAATACATACCTCCACACCATCAACTGAATAAACACGATTTACATTCACTCATTGATGAACTTCCTGAACCGTGTGTTCTTCTGGAAGAGTTCAGCGCACATAGCAGTTTGTGGGGCGACTCTCCCTGCGATGCACGAGGTCACGTTATTGGACAATATCTTTTTTCCTCTGGCTTATGCCTCCTGAACACAAAGAAGCCCACGTATTTTAACCTCGCAAACGAATCATACTCTGCCATAGATCTTAATATTTAATCGCTGATGCTTTTACCGTACGTTAAATGGAGTGTTTTAAAAAACCGTATGTGAGTGCCTATTTTCCGATACTGCTGAATACGTCAAAATAAACTAAGGTTCCTTTGCAAGTTCCTCGGTGGAAACTTGTCTGAGCCAACATTACCGAGATCTTATTAACGTGACCTGTATAGCTTGACCGTATATGGTGCTCTAAAGTATTTTATAGCAATTCTTATTTATGCTGCCTTGGCATCTATTCCCGAAGCAAGTGACGCAGGCTGCGAAGGGCGTGTTTCCTGGTGGAACGATGAATGCAGGAATGCGTGGAAAAGGCAAAACAAGGCTTGGCGGGTATTCCGTGACTTCCCAACAGCAGAGAACTTGGTCAATTTTAAACACTTGAAATCCCAGGGTATGGGGACATGCTGAAAGGCTCGAAAAGAGAGTTGGCAAAAGTTTATCTGGTGTAAACTCGTATACAGACAGACGCGACTTCTGGAGCAGGTTCAATAAAGTGAGAAGGCGAAACATTCACTCCCTTTAGTGATTACAGAAGACGACACTCTGGAAGACCAGGCAAACTTCCTGGAGGAGCACTTTGAACGCATTTCCAGCTTGTCGCACTACTCCATGGCTTTTCAGCAGTATAAAACGAGAATATAAAATGGGTGTGACCAAATATATGACTCTATGCTCCAAACATGTTCATTTACATAACGGAAATAACACAATGAAAGCTAGAAACAATTAGTGATTCACATTTGCTCAAGTCTTTGCTGTTGCAACTCAACGAGTCTCATTTGCAGCTTGCCCAAAAGCCCCAGCACAGCGTTCGAATTCTCATCTGCGGAAAAATTCTGCTGTTTTGTTGTTTTGCATCTCTAGGGTTTTGCAACACATTGTAGTCACTCTGGGCCGACTTCTGCAAGGAGAGATGAAAGGGCTTGCAGTTGTAATTAACCATTGTGGATACTGATGCGTTTGATTTATTAAAAGTTTTTCCCGGTAGTAATGCGCAAGGCTGTGCCGGGACTTGGACCTCAGTCTAAATTAACTAAGTTAAAATGAAGTGAGTTTGAATTGATGAGATTTACTGTACTTTCTTTGATGAGTGTTTGGTACATGAGTAGTTTTGGGCATACTCTAAATGTTCAAATTGATTTGAGTCATGCCAGCTTTAAAGCAACATGCCCATAAGTGGTGTAATCAGCTTCGTTAATGGATCTCATATGTTGATATTTGTTGTTCTGCAGCCACCTTGCAGCAGCTAGAAACCCTCCAGCTTCTACCTGGCAATGTGAATGCCGCTCAACTCATTTATAGTTGTCTAAGTGCACTACAACAGGAAGGAGGATCTACCAATCCTCCTGTCGTAACTACATACTCAACTGGTGATGGTACAACAATCACTATACAGGTATGAATGTATATGTATACTAGTTGAACCTTCAAAACAGGTTCTTCAAAAAGCACTGACACGAAAGTTTGAGCATTGTGTTTTTTTTTTCTTTTGCAATGAGTAGCCAATGGCCCACTTATCATGGCTGGAAAGCTTGCTTCCTCACGCATTAAAGTTAATTATTTGGAGATGGTTTTAAAGCACCCAGTTATAGTTTCTCTTTCAAAAAGTGCTGAGTGAGGTGCTCGCTGAAACAGATACTGGAACCAGATAGGTTTTCGTGTAGATATAGGCAGCTGCTTAAGCACGCGAAACTGCTTACTTATGAGCACTGCATTGACAACTATTTTCAGTGAAAGCTTCCTGTGTGCTGCTATAATTGCCTCCGAAATGTAAATATGCTTACACCCTCCCCCCCTCCCCCCAAATGCATTGCCAAGACAAGGACGTCAACCTTTGTATTTCCGGGAAAGTCTGCTCCTTCTATTTATTAAAAAAAAAGCCTGCTAGCAGAAAGCTTCCACAAAGATTGTGGCAGCCAGTGCTAACTTGCGACACAGGGGGTGCTTAGCTAATGGTGGTTGGTTGCTTATGCAAACCTAATGCATGTTTTGCGTGCAGTGGCTTGACACACACATTAAAATTGATTTTAAATATGGTATAGGTTATATTATCTGCTGATATTTTGTAGAGGGTGTGTGTGTGTTCTCCGCACAGATCTCAGAAGTTTTCAAATTTTTGTGGTAGTACTCCTTTATAGCTGCACAATTCACATTTACAGCCAGTTGTGTAACACATGCCTGTTTTCACTGGTTAAGTAGTGTGTATTTGCCGCCTCACTCCCCCATATTTGTATGTGAAACATGTAAGGGTATCATTTATGCAATTTGTTTCTATGAAAAATCTAATTGTCCATAAAAGAGACATACAACTCCTGTTAGAAAATAGTCAACAGTCATATCTTTTAAATAACATGTTTGTAATTAATAGAAATTACCCTGTGAAATTTATTTTAAGCAAAAATCTTGAGTAAAGCTGAATGAATGGTAAGTCATAGTTACATAAGTGTTGAGGAGTCTTCGGTCATGACAGTGTTTGGTGCTGAATGTAGCTGTCACTAGAATTTACATTCTGCGTGGACGGGTAAGCGATGAGTAGCTAGTTAAATTGCATTGTCCACAGCATGAACCTTAGCAGTCCTTGACATCCTCAGCTGCTATTTAAACCAGCATTTTATGTCCAGACATTGTTTTGTAAGGACTATCACAGCTGTAATTTTTTTTTTGCTTGCTGCTAGCAAATGTGAAATCAAGCGTAAGCCACTAAGGGGATTCAAACCAGCATTTTATGTCCAGACGTAGTTTTGTAAGGACTAGCACAGCTGCAACTTTTTTGTGTGTGTTTGCTGCTAGCAAATGGGAAATCAAGGGTAAGCCACTAAGGGGAATGAAATTTTTGCCTAGTTTAGTTTACAGTTATAAAATCGAGCAGTCTTCATTTCATACAGAAGACACATAACAACAAAAAGGCAACATGGCTCACCATGAACATTGGTAGTACATTGCCAGCCTAGAAGGGTGCACATTGCACGTCCAGCATTTCACTAAATTAGAGGCAACTGCACACACAGAGGGGTTTCTTCGTGCTATTATGCTGACTTGCTGTTTAATTTCTGAAATGCACTATTTTTTTGTTAACCCAGCAGGCTTCCAGCAGTGGCTTTTTCAGGAAAGCATTATGAACTAGAGTCTCGTGCTGTCTCTTTGTATTTTCCTTCACTACTTGTGCAGTGATCTTTAATGTTTAAGGGTAGAGTGTACTCTGGCGCACTCCTAACTGAATCTGCATGTGCAATGGGTCCAGGTTCCGTCATCTGCAACAGAAGACGACAGTGGATCATCCCTTCTAGCAACACCTGCAGAACAAGACCAGTTCTATTTGACATTACAGCAACAGGAAGATGGCAGCATGGCCTACGTGAGTGGGGAGGGATTTTCATCACAGGGAGGTGATATGGACAACGAAGCCTCCGGTCTCAAGATCAGTGCTGTACACTTTACAGAGAGCAGATAATGATGGTAGGAAGGTTCTTCTGCCCTGGAATTGTTGCATGTGAACTGGAACAGATCCAGAGTGCAGAAGCTCAAGTTTTGCATGACTGGTTGTTTACATCACCATGATTCGAAGTTTGAGGCTTATGCAAAGTTACCCTTTTCGATCCCATGTGCAGCTTCTGTACTGCAAGCCTCACTGTTGTGCCTCGAGCTCACTTCAGTCTGTGATTAGGCATTTGGAATATGAGTATAGGGCTATATTTTAACACACACATGTTGCCACGTGCTTTGTATGGTAGAAGTTATACTCTGAAGGCTGTGAAGCAGATCTTTTTGGTTTCTGAACCAGCTCATCATATTTAGATCTTGAACAAGCATGTTCATTCTGCTTTATTCTTGCATTATTATTCATAAGAATCACTGATTAAGCCTGATTAGCAATTCTTTTCATTCTATTTTTTTCCGTAAAGCATTTTTTTCCTCTATACTGATCATGTTGTTTCTCCTTTGATTCAACTTGTACCACAATCAGAAGATCTAGTGTGTCAATCTTTTGAACAATTCCTTGAGAAGTGCTGTATTGTGTGTCAATCTTTTGAACAATTCCTTGAAAAGCACTGTATTGTGTTAGTTGCATATGATGCAATATGAAAATAAAAATATCAATATGACAGCAAAGCACCTATTTGAATGAAACATTACTTAGGTTTTATATGATTATACTATGGCTGTTGTTTTTTCATCATCTTTGTTTTGTATTTGCATTTTATATGTAGCCTTTTATCTTGCTTTTTTATCGAGTGCTTACAGGCTTTCTATTTACATGATAGTATATAGTATACATACTTTTTTTTAGAGTTTTAGCTGAACAGCATTTACAGCTGGCTCATGTTGCGGAAATGTGTATTAAGTAATCATACACAACTGTACAGTAAGTATGCTGGCATGTGTGTGCACAGTGATTATGCAAGAACACTGTTAGGTATAACACTGCCCTTGCTTTAAGAGGAACGCGATTGTGCACCCCTGCAGTTCTGGCTTCTTCATAATTTTTGTTAGGTAGTCCGGCAGTGTGACGCCTGTGTCTTTGAGAGATGCTTTCATGAAAAATAGAAAAGGCCAGCACATGTGCGCTTGATCAGTCAGTTTGGTGGCCTGTAAATTCCAAGTGTTTAGCGAGGGCATATGAGGTCACGCGTTGTTTCCCGACGTCATATTTGTGTTGTTCAACTCTTTTCTTAAAATCAGTGGTCTGACCGATGTACTAGTTGTCACAATTGTACCACTTTACTCCCAGTAGTGTTGACTTTGCCAAAGGGGCACAGCAATGCGAAAAATCGGCTGCACAGCCAAAACTGTATGAACGTAGGGTCAAGGTGTGACAGTGCCAAGTGCAGTGCATGAGACGGGTGCAGAAATTGTTTTTCGAAGTAGAGTATCTGCACAGAGTGCAGCACTGTGATATTGACAAAAAGTGACCGTCATGGCCTTCTGCATGAATTCGCAAGAGTGGGTGGCTTGAAAAAAAAAAATTAATAAATTTGAAGCCTGTTTACTGGCCCTTTAAGAGGGTATAGTAGAACCAACGTTACTAGAACCAGGTCAGTTCCGCAGCTCCCCATAGGCGCGTGCGTTCTTTGAAGTGGCCGTGGTGGCCGACGCGAGAACTAGTGGCGCTGCTGTGTCATTTTGCTTCAAGGCGCGCGCGTCTGCTCATTTTTCTTCTTCTTTGCGGCAACCACACGGGCAAACCTCTTTGAGAGGTTGCGAACCTTTTTTTTCCTGGTTTTCACCACCTTTGCAGGCTCTCTGGCTCGCAATGGCCTCCGTAGACGCAGGCAGAGAAAGCTAGTGGGCCGCTGCGTAAACTTTGCAGTGTTTATGATGAACAGTAATGGTTTTGGGCACATTCTCGGTTAATGGTATGCCTCCACATATGTTCAGGCTGTCTACCTCTTTAGATACACTTTCCAAATGGGCGACAGTGGTCAGAGTGCGCGACAGCTGCTTGTGTACTTCGTTGTCGCCGTCATTAGCACAGTTGCTGTCTCATTCAACAATACCAGTTTCTTTTAGTAGCAGTTCTCCTGGCACAAGATTTCTGCCATAGAAAACATCGCACGTCATCCCTCACACAACATTATCGATTCATTCTTGGCTTCGAGACGTGGAAGGCAACGAGACGTTCATCCCTTAATTGAGCGCCAATGGTGTAGCTGGCGAAACGCCGGAGATGGGCAGCCCTATTTCATTTTTGGGCATGAGCCCATTTCTAGCACATTGTTTTTTTTTTACATTCTCCTTGTGTCCTTGTCGTCACATGTGCCTTCGAGATTCGCTCTGGCAGACGGGGAAAAAGGGGTGCTAATGCCCCTGATATAGCGCCCATTTTCCTTGAGATAGAAGCATTTGATTTTCATTTATATTGTAATAATTATTCTGACAATAACGTCCACCTCAAAATGTCGCTCACATATTTTGGACTTGTGAGTCAGCCGCCTATTCTTGCGGCACAGCATCTATCCCTACTTTTAACGCGACAGAGTTAAAGGGCTTGTTTCGCAGAAATTCTGGCATCGGTGTCAGTGTCGTTTGTTGTGAGCAAGATATCATCTTGGGTGTGACCCAAAAGTTCATAAATATGCAAATAAAATTAAAATTCAAAATTCCCGATAATTCCCGGCATTTGAGTAGCAAGCGGGTGTTCTACAACACAGCCACCTGTCTGCTTGTTAAAACATTTCTTATTCAGAAATAAAAAATAAATATTCATAAAACCACATTGGTCTACTCACCTACTATTTGGAGGGTCTAAAAACACTTCATTTTATCCAATTCATCAAACACCTTCATACAATGTTGAGGTATCAACATTCGATATATCTCATGCACATATTGCACATTCAATAAATCTTCCCGTGCCGATTTGGCTTTAGGACCTCACGGCCATGCATTTTACCCAGAGACCGTAAAGGCCCAGTAATAGTATCATATTATATGGAACACCACCCTCATTCTGTATTGAAATATAACGCAATCCATGAGATGCTATCGGCAGATCTTTCTTCGGGGTTCTTTGTTCCACATCCCAAAAGAATATTGGATCCCAGCACTCACTCATAGCATGTTCTACCGTTTCCGGTTTGTTACACATTGCGCATTTTGCGTCCATGCTGGGCGTAGCCAGGGGGTGGCTCACCGGGTCCATGCTCCCTCCCTGCCCCAAACATTTTTTTGCCATGGCATAGAGAGCAACAAATGACCATTTCAAGGGGGTGCCTTCCCCGAAATGAAGCAGGTAGCACCTTCCCCTCTGCCCTCCAAAAAACAAAACAAATTTCTGGCTACTCTTTGCTTGACTCAAGTAGATGCGATAGAAGCCACAGTAACTTCAACCAGTATTGGGGCACAACCCAACATCAGCGTCCCACCATTCGTGGAAAATGCGCTTCTTTATCATTCAATAAATAAGAACATAAAAGACAAAATAACAATAAGCATTCCCAAACAATACCGAATTACGCAACATTCACGCGATACCCCCCCCCCCCCCCCCCATTTTCTACTCTGCGACGCATTCACTCGAATTTCCCCGTGAGAATATGCGGGCGGCTTTTTTAAACTCATTGAAATCTCGGAATGGTTCAAAAAAAAAAAGATGATCGGTGTCATTTATGTGAGCACTTTTGCAGCCCGGCGCACAACAATAAGGCATTGTTTATTGGCGTTTCTTGTCACATGTTAGAACTATTTCGTAAGAAACGACAGTTTACCAAATAATGGCGCGAAGAAGCAACCGAGCGCCGAAAATGCGCTGTCGTGTCTGAGCGGCAACACGTGTGACGCGGTATGTGAAGCAAAATGGAACAGCAGCACCATTAGTTCACTCATCAGCCACTTGTGCCGGCGCGCGTGCGGAGCTTGAAAACTTGCCTGGTTCTAGTAATGTTGAGTAGAACGAGAGAGTCATCTTAGTTTCAATTTTACATCTGGACAGCTGTTCTATGTATTAATGTGAACTTTTTCCCTGCAGCCTTTCGTACATGTTTAATTGATTGAGAACCACATGGTAGGCTTCTAAAGGGGTGCAACAGCAGCACCAATTGCGCCAATTTGATACAAATCCCCATTTCTGTGCTGAGCTGTGCCAAAACTATGAAGTTTGCTGAAATTGCACCATGCTGCACCAAAATGCCCAAATTGCCACAAAATTTTCTTAGTTGCGTGAAATTCAGCGAGAAATAGAGGCTACGTTGGCCACCGGCAGTTTGTTTCATCAATCAATCCAAGCGCGCAGACCCTAACCCCAAACTGCGATGTCAGATGCATTCTCATTAGGTCAAAGCACTCGCGCAACGCGGTCGACAAGCTAAAGTAACAAATCCACGCGCCCATCAGTCTGCTGACTGCAGCAGATACTTATCAGCGGGACGATGCAACTTCATGACAAAAAATTCGTTACCACAGCCTCTAACGCTTCGCGGGAAACATGAACTTTCCTTGTCAGCAAACATAGCAATGGCGAGTTAGCAACTAGAGCAGGGAGTGCATACCACGTTTCTTGCGCACGAACAGAGTCGGCGGGCTGCGATTACCAGTGTTGTGACCACGTTGGTCATCATAGCGAAGGCACATAAAAAGTTTCCTGCCTTTAAGTTGCTTTAGTTGCGCCGTCCAGGCGATAATTATCAAATACCGGATCAACGAGCGTGTGCGTGCATTTGTTACTTTAATTGGTAGAACACGTTTTGCAAGTGATCTAAAAAGTTGTGGCCTAAAGCCAACCTTATCGTGATTTTAAAAAAAGAGGGGGAGAAATGTAGCGGTGTTCGAAAATTTTTTGGCCTTGCTCTAACCCTTGCAGAACGCTGCTTAAGCCACTTTGGCCGCAATACACCAGTGCACTGCAGAGTAGCATATTGTAACGAACAAATACAGTGCCGGAAGCTGAAACAGCTATTTATTAATGGTGAACTTGTGCCCGTCAACTAAATACACAAAGGCTGTGAGCTCACTGGTCAAAACCTCGCCAACTTCTCTTGCGTCTCGCCTTGAGCTGCTCCTCGAAAAACCGCCAGCGTTCCTTGTCCAGCGCGTGATGTGGTCACACGTGCAGCCAGCGTTGCATGGCGCGTTTATAGCTTGGCGCGTTTGGCTTGTCCGTTGGCTTGTCCGTTGGTTGTCCGGTGGGCATCACCGGTAGCACTACCGGTGATGCCCACGGACTGTTGGATGTCTGGATTACATCATCGTTGAGCATTTCCTGCACTTGGTTCTTGATGGCTTCCCTTTCTTTTGGCGCTACTCGGTATGGGCGCTGATGCACAGGTCTCACGTGTTCTTCGACCACGATACGGTGCTTTGCGATGGGAGTACGGCCGACTTTCGATGTGGTGGAGAAGCACTCGGCGAACTCTCTGATGAGGTCAGCAATCTGTTGCTTCTGAGATGACGAGAGCTCTCTGTCAATGTCTACTGACTGGAGTACGTTATCCACTGTCTCTGAAGCTTTATCAAGAGTGCAAACATCTGAGACTTGCACGTACTCATGCAGCGATGCTACGGATGTTCCCTTCGCAACATGCTGCAGCTCATTTCGAAAGTTAGTTAATAGGACATACGCACATCCATCACGAAGGCTCACCAGGCCTCTTGCCACGCATAGTCCTTTTTCTAGTAGCAGTCCGATGTTTCCGTCAGCTAATCCGTCACAGTCACGAAGAACTTCACTCCTCACAAGAACGGTCACACTGGAACGTGGCGGCACGGTTACATCTTCGTCCACAATGCGGAGAGGTAGAATGATTGGTTTCTCCACATGACAGAAGGCGATGGCATTCTCCGTAGAAAACGAAACCTGGGACTCTTGCAAGTCAATGACTGCATTGTTTGTTTGCAAAAAGTCCATGCCTATAATCAGTTCCCGGGAGCACTCAGGAAGCACAATAAAGCTGCCGACATACACAAATCCTCTTATTCCTAACCTTGCGGTGCATAACCCCACGGGACTAACTAAGTGCCCTCCAGCGGTACGTATCTGAGGTCCGGTCCACTCAGTCATCACCTTCTTAAGCTTCTTTGCGAGAGCATTACTGACAACGGAATAGTCTGCACCAGTGTCTATTAGCGCAACGGCCTCTACGTCGTCGATTGTGACTAATATCTCGGAGGTAACGTCGCTACTACTGCACTTGACCGTCGTTGCGTAACTGCCACCGTCCTGTCGGGCTAACAATGGAGGGTCTTCAGTTGTCAGTATATCAGCGGCCTCACCTCCAGAGGTCGCTGGCTCTAGTTTTCCCGCCGCGGGCTAGGTGAACGTGATCTTCGGAGATTTGATGACGGACGAGGACTCGGCGACCGATAGCGCATCGCTGCTGTCGAACGCGACTCCCGTTGTTGCGTGTCTTGAGGTGAATAGCGTGAAGACAAGTATTCTTCGATTTCGTAGGGCCGTTCACCGTTCCGTGGGCATGGTGCATTGGCTGGAAAACCACGCAGTCCCGCTCGACGATACTGGCACGCCCGGTAAAGGTGACCTGCTTCTCCTCAGTGGTAGCAAAGGGACCGCCGGTCTACAGTGCGCCTATATATCGCTCTATACGATATATAGGCGCTCTATATCTATATATCGCTCTTACGTGGTCTTGCTTCCGGGATTGGTAGCGGCGTACTCGGAGAAAACATCGGAGGCATCACAGCAGTCGCAGCCGTCCGATTCATGCGTCCGAGGTCATCCGTACAGCTTGCGCGTACGACAACTGAGGTTGAGGCTCCGGTTGTGCGCGCTGTAGTACCTGAGGTTGTGGTTGTAGAACCGCTTGCCGCACTTTTTCGCGCACAACGTCGGCAAGTGAAGACATCGCTGAATGAGCTTGAGTCATGTGTATTTTCTGCAGTTCTTCCCTTACGACAGCCCTCACCATTTCACGCAAGAGATCAATGTTACTCGTGAGGGTTGTCGACGCCGCGCTAATGGGTGAGACGCTTACGTCCCTGTTGTATTGGCGCGCGCGCTGCTGCAGGGTCTTTTCTATCATGGTCACCTCTGATCTGAACTCGGCAAGAGAGCGCGGTGGATTACGCACCAGGCCTGCAAAAAGCTCCTCCTTCACTCCACGCATCAGGTGCCGCAACTTCTTTTCCTCAGCCATGTTCTGGTCGGCCCGGCGGAACAGTCGAGACACGTCTTCAATGTACATGGCGACGCTCTCGTTGTTCCGTTGGTTTCGCGTCTGAAGAGCGGCCTCTGCCTTTTCTTTGCGGTCCGTGTTTGGGTACGTTGCAAGAAACTCTCTTCGAAAGTCGTCCCACGATAATAAGGACGCTTCGTGGTTTTCGAACCACATACGTGCAGAATCTTGCAGTGCCACGTAGACGTAGCGAAGTTTCCGGTCTTCGTTCCAACCGTTCAGTCTGGCAACGCGTTCGAAACCGTCGAGCCAGTCCTCGGAATCCTCAAAAATATCACCGTGAAATACCTCTGGTATGCGGGGCGGGTCCATGACGATATGCAATGGAAATGAAGTCGCTTGGGTGGCCATTGCAGGGGCTCCGGAACTTACATCCTCCTCTGGTCTCGAAGAATCGAAGAGGGCACCAAACTCGGGCTGCTCACCTCGTAGGCGACGACTCGTTCGTTGGTGTACGGGAGTCAACAGCGCTGGCTCCAACCTTCGGGGTTCTGGGCTATGTTCCCTATGCTGAGATGGGCTTGGAATCATACCCCGCACCTCCACCAGTTTGTAACGAACAAATACAGTGCCGGAAGCTGAAACAGCTATTTATTAATGGCGAACTTGTGCCCGTCAACTAAATACACAAAGGCTGTGAGCTCACTGGTCAAAACCTCGCCAACTTCTCTTGCGTCTCGCCTTGAGCTGCTCCTCGAAAAACCGCCAGCGTTCCTTGTCCAGCGCGTGATGTGGTGACACGTGCAGCCAGCGTTGCATGGCACGTTTATAGCTTGGTGCGTTTGGCTTGTCCGTTGGTAAGGCAGAATTCAAAGCAACAGGAAGCGGCGCAGGACTTCGGCAGGTGCCTAACAACATGCGGCAATATTGTGATTTGGAAGGGCCTCTTAGCACTAGTCACGGGACACAGCTCATTTTCTTTAATTTCTCGTGCGTGTATATGCTGCATAACTGTGAATACTAGTCTGCTTGCTGACTTCTAAAAATGTTACAGGCAATCATTTGGAGGAGTGTATAACATTGCTGGCGCCTTAAAAAAATGTGTGCCAGTGTGTGTGTACTTTTTTTTCTACTCCTCAGTTTCACTAATTCCCTGTTTTTCAAGATCGCCAGTTTGAGAAATCCACATTTGAATTTGGAGAGTCTGTCAAATTATTTAAAAGATGCAATAAATGCAAATGTGGGCTTCATAAGTTATTGTTTGCTGGGGTGGTTCAAAATATTACTTTTATTGGAATAATAGTGCACTCTACACGAATCAGGTATAATCTGTACATATTTTTTTTTTAATGTAAGCCTTCTCTTTTTATACTGCTCCAAATTTGGTCCATCGTGATAAAAAATGGGTGTATTTTTTTTTTTTTCGGAACCTGCCCCAAATTTGCATTTTAGTGCTCCAAAAGCAAAATTGCTGCTCCAAAAATTGCTCCAAATTTGATTTCGGCTGTTGCACCCCTGATTCTAATAATTAAGCCTTTTGGTACACAAAAAAAGGGCAGTCATTGTGTACAACAGAGTTGGTACTTGGTTTAGTTGACTTAACAAAGATTATTTATGTGTACTTTTTTTCAGAAACAAGAAGCAGTATGACTTTGAAATTCTGTATAGTAATTCCACATGATAGTGACTGCTACTTGTTCATAAAAAAGATGGTTTTGGTTTCCCACTCTCACTTCACGCTTTAGCTAGCACAAGGTTTGGAAATTATTGGGGGTTTACATGTGACTTTTGTCATCAACTGTTTCCAATGTGTAAACTGGTTGCTGCAAGGTGTCCATTGTATGCATTCTTTCTGTTGGTCATGGATTGAATCACCTTGCTCTAGCTGTTTGGTTTTGTCACCTGTAGGTAGAATTTGTTTTGAAAATT